GTAATGATTTTATTTTGAAAAAACCAAACATGAACAAAAAAGTTGGTCACGTATTCAAAATAATATATAAAACAAGTGGTAAGCAAAGAGGTGCAGACTAACGCATATGTTTGCAAGCAACAATAGGCAAAAAATAAGAAAAAAGACTTTTTGACGAGAGCACCAAGTGCTGATCGTAAAGACTAAAATGGATATCACCATAAAAATTTAATATATTTCAATACATTTGAACACTTTTATAATATACACTTTATATATATAATATAAGAGCAATAAAATTTCTGCACACAAAATCAAAAATACGACCATAGCACGCGCGCAGAGTTGCCAAGCTGAAGATTGTTAGTTAATTCTTATTTGAAGTGTTATCATCAATTTCAATCACGATACGTTTAGTGGACACATAGACACTCGTTTCTACCGTAAATTTTGTGAAGAAACTTTCTTTGCAATAAATATAGATTTTGATGATTTTGTGGTGCGGATCGTGATGAGAATATCGACCTTTTTAATGCTAATCAAATATTCTGCTTTTAGGGAGAAGACCGGGCAATTACACAACCTTTCCATGAAGTCAGAATGGTTTTGGTAAAATCGGCCCTTCATAGCAAAGCTTCATAGTTTTGTTAGCTTCTTACGTCTCTTAGAACGGCGAAGAAGAAATCTTTAAGGCGTGTTAGTTAATGACAATATCTCCCTTTTCTATTTTGCTGGCAGATGGGTAAAGAAAAAGTTTGTGGCATTTTTCGATGTAGATCGCTTTACAGTCGCATAATCTATCGCGTCAGAGACGCACACGCAACTGTTCGCAGATAATTAAAAAAAAATGAATGTGACGTTTATGAACTCAATCGAAAGTAATAACCTTTTGAAGATGAGACATAGTTCGCAATCGTTATGTTTTACAATATCGGTTCGATCTAGGCGACAGCAGGCTTGGGAAAATATTCGTAATATTTACGATGAGGCCGCCTTTTCAAAATCAGCAGCACAAATGTAAACTGCTTGTCTCTGCCTTGGAAATTTTGAGGTTAAAGGTACGACACATCTTCGTCACCCAGCCGTTGCTAAGGCCAATGAAATTGTGCTGGAATGAATTTTAAACTGCGAATCTTTGTTGAAATCGAGCCGGTTTTGAAGGGATTGAAAATGAATCAGTAAAAGCAAGAGAGAAAAAAGAAAGAAAACAAGTGTGGACCAAGATGGATAAAGTTGCACAAACAGTGCCAAGTTCAACATACTCAAAGCTCTTAAAGACTGGACTTTGTACACATTCCGAGGTGAACTATGCCACTGCGTGAAGCTCAAATACCTTAAATTTGGATAAAGAAGTGAGAATTTAACTCAGCACATTATAGCACCATTTACCACGATTCTTAGACAACAGCGACAACTTATTCACCGTCGTAATGTACTAGTTCCCATCCAATAATATGTATATAGTTTGTCTACCCAGGGCGGGTGCACTATACAAGTGTGAAATTATATAGCAGTAGTTGTATTAAAGCTTAGGATGGCTTATTACTGAAATCCTAGAGCTGTTTAATTAGGAGATGATAAAATAATTATTCGAAGGATGCATGTATCGAAAGTACAGTAAATGTTAAATGCCAAATATGTTCAAGTAATTGTTAATTGATTGATTTGATGGGGTGATTAAAGCTTCCAAATTAACAACGATTTTGGTTGGGCAACATAAATCATAACCATTGAGGAGATCAAAATCTTCACCATAAAATTATACTGGCGATAATATCTACTTTTTAGGCATTTCAGAAATGCCCAGAAATTTCAGCTTGTCCGTCCACGTCGAAAGTATAATTCATTTTTCTATATACTTGAAGGACATTTCTCAATAATTTCCGCAATAGTTATTGCTTTCGTTTATTGAACAGCACAGAGGAAACAGTATTGTCCAAAAGATCTGTCGCAATTTTACCGCGATAATATGCGTACACGCAACGTTGTTACTTGAACTCAAAGAGAAAGGAATTATAATAATTGTTGTGAAACTCATTACTGTAATTAAATAATTAAGCAAATGAACTACTGGTTGTTAATTATGTTACAATGAATTCATTGCACGCATTCTTCGTATGTAACTAAAGACGGGTAAAACATTTACTATGTCTTTAGATAAGACGGCAGTAAGATTTACAAATATATTCAATGGGAATAATTTGTTCTCAAAAGTGTTATGGAACTCTTTCACATCTGCCTTATTAAAATTTTAACAGCCGTACATGATTGCAACTGTGCGTACTACTGCGCCGTTGAATAGTACAATAGTGCTTAAGCAATTAATCAAAAGCGTATACAGAAAGTTTATAACTTTCATATTTTTACTTGGTTAAGGAACGCATTAATTCAAATTTTTAATTTATTTAAACGAATTTATTCTTTTTTGTAAATTTTAAAAAGTTTCCTTCTTTTTCTTTTTTTTTTCTTTATGCTTTTCTTGCGTTTATAGAGCCATTTATTAATTGCCGACTATTATAAGATTCATATAAACTTACATTCGTTGTTTGATTTACACTTTAATATCACGCGAACCTCGTATATTTTGAAGAGGTTTTATTAATTTTTTTTTTCATTTTTCTGGGAGGCGGTCTCGTAAGCAAGCTAGAAAGTCATTAAATCGTAACTGAGTGCTGCTTTAGTTGGCAATAATTTCGTCTTTATGCGATTTGCATAACCATATCGGGAGGTAACAATAATTTTCCCATTCTTTACGTTGAAGCTTTAAAGTTGTCTTGCTAATTACATTGGGACTCTAAGGAAATTGACGCCCGTCCAATAGACCCAACATGTTAAATAGGGCATTAAAACATTTATTTTACTGAAAGTGGGAAGAAAGTGTAAGTTTTCACTGTCTACTCAAGTTGAGGGCCTTTCGTGATACAAAGCAGAAGTTGTTTGTATTGGCCGGTCATATGCTTCAATTACTGTACGTCGGGTATCATGTAAATTGTGTGCAAAACTTTTAATCACCGGTTGCTTTGATCGCGGGTAGCGTGCATTCAAAGTTTGTCTGGAAGCAAGCACGATTTTTTTGCCTTTGTTCAATTTGTTTCATTAAGTACAACTTCTCAAGTTTTAATAAAGGTTTGTAAGTTATTACAGGAAAGCACGGTTGCTTCAAAACTTTGTACCTCATGGATGAGGTGTAATTACACCATGGGTTCGTTTACTACTAATTGAGAAATGAATTGAAATGGTTTATTGAAAGCAGCTCTGCTTGAAACTGTGACTGTCGCGAAATATTCACTAGCGTTATGTGTGCCATCAAGTAAAGCATACATTTCTGTGCAAATGTATAATATTTCATTGCATACTTTTGAATGCCACAATAAAAGGCTAGCATAAATATAACTTTACGATTAAGCTACGGAACAAAAGAAGGACTATATTAACCTTAGCAAAAACCTTACGCTACGCCAAATATTTAAATAGGGTTCAATTTTTTGAAGCAAATAGTTGGTCCAAGTGGAACTTGTTTTGCTTAATACACTTACAAGCCTCGCTAATATTTTCAATTCCTCAACTTAATGTGGTTATTTAATCTAGCGATGTGTTAGTGTTAAATGTCAATTTTTGATGCCTTTGAGCTCTCTAATAACAGATGAGTCCGAGAGGCAAATATATAAATATAGCTAAGCTTACTATGGCTAACTGTGATGAAGACAGAGAGTAAGTATAGTTTAGTCAGTAAAGTTGCTCTTGTTGTCAATGGATCGATGATGCTTTTCTTTCTTAATCCTTTGATCTTACTTGCGCAATGGGTTTGGACCATAGAGCGAATGTTAAGAACACTTCTCTTATAATGAACTAAGGCGTAGCACTCACTTTTGGCTATACTACAACTACATAAGCAGGTCGTTTGGAACCTTTCGAGGCTTTCACTAAGCTAAAGTAAATTTTTGTACCTATGTTATATATTTCTGCAAAGATCATTCATTATTTGGTTTCTCCATTAATGACTTATTAGCAGAGCTAGGCTCAACGATGTTAATGTTTCGACATTTTAATTGAAGGAAAGTATTATATTACAATTAATATGTATTTATGTATATAATTCACGCAGTTTTATATATGCTTTATATATATGTAGTTGTGTATTTATTATGTATATGTATGTGCAAAATTTTCCGTTGGTGCTTGGTTCCGTCTTCGATTTCCATAGTTTTGGTATTTATGGTTCCGGTCCGTGGTCCCATTTTATTAGAGGCATGAAATGATATGATTTTTGTTTTTTGGAAATTTTACAAACATGAAAACGGGGCCAGTCTTGACTGCCGGAATGTCATACGTTACCGACTTCTACGCGTTCCCCAGATTGTTCATTTAGGGTAATGTTTTCCAGTTAATGAGAATGGCTTCGATACTCTAATGAGAGTTTATGTCCAGTACCTCACCTTTTTAATTTTCTATGAGTCGTGGACAGACTATATGTAGGAAAACGCCCAGGCGTATAGTTTAGACTTCTAGGATAATGAAAACAATGTTTCCATACGAACATTAATACTTACAACGAGAGCTTCGAAAAGTGAGTGAAAGAACGTTCAGCGTCGTTTTCCATTATATAACACTAATGACCTAATGATTTTTTAAAAATTATTTCTTTTTATATATTTAACCAGGCGCTCGTATGTTGACCATCAGATTGAATTATAAGTAGTGGAGTATGACTGCGTATAGAAATCTACATTAAGTTTGTAACAAACAAGCAAATAGACATCCAAACATGACTAAGTTAATTGGTATCTGAATCTGACCAAATCTCAAACATATCGACATATATAATAATAAATTAAATGATTTTATTGTCAAAAGTGTTTCCTAATAGTTCTTTTATATAAAACTAGCAGACTCGTTAAACTCAAAACTTATGGAGAAATATAAATACAAGTAAAACGAGCGAGACGTTGGAAGGAGAGTTCGAGTTATTGAAAAAATTTAAAAAATAATTTTTATTTTTAAGTATTATGGGATTTACTTACAGTTCATGTCCAGCATAACTTTTTTAGTTAACGCAGCCACCACGTGACCATTGCTCGCCTGACAGGTATAAATCTGCAAAAAAAATGTACAAAATTCTTTATTTTGTAAAGAATTGCTTTGCGGCATAAAAAGGAGAAAAAAAAAACACATATGTTTGAATGTAATCATCGTTCATTATCAAGCAGCAGGATATTTAGTTTTCATAAAAATTTTCTTCTTTGTATAAATTCTTTAAAAAGATAATAAATCTTTTATTACACCCTACATTAATCGTACACGTATTTACGAGACATATTTCGTTTGTGCAGATATAATATAATATCAAGAAAAACCTAAGACAGAGCCATCTTTTATTGTACCAATTGGTTCCGAATAATTTTTCGAATTAATTTAAGTTTGCCTTTCGATGATCTACTTATCGTAAATTTTCAAATGTTTCAACGATATTTGGTACACTGATGTCTTTCGACGTGAGATCAGATCCTATCGAAAATGGATTAGGTTAGACCCTTCCTATGACCATTTCGTATATAACACTTTTATTCGAAAAATCCATTATATGAGAAGTTTTGGATTTTTTAAAATTTCTAAATTAATATAAGAAATTTCGACTGCTTGAAGACCTTTTTTTTTTAATTCCGTCCCTAGTTTGATAAAGAAACTGATTGTACTAAATTTTGGACTATGTAAATATATTTTCTGGAACCGACATGACAAAGCAAGTTTTTACATAAAAGTTGACTTGCGTTGCAGTTTGGGCCATGTCGGTGTATTTATTACACTGTACAGTATATAAATACACTTTCACGTGAAAACAATTTTTGTTATTGTTTGACGAAAATAAGTAAAGAATTGCATTAACGAAGTAATGTAAGATTTTCAATGATCTGCTTTGCCTGACTATAATGTTTTTATATGATGTTATGTTTGCAGGTGTTTGGTTTATGTTTTCTTTAATAAAATCACAATTTTACTGATAACTATCTGCATGTTGTGCAGTAAGTCGATGAAGATAACACTATTTACATATATTTCCCTGAAATAACATTACGACTAAATTTAATTTATAATAATATTATATATGTGAAAAGAAAAAAGTATGTATTTAATGCAATTCTCAAATGTGTTTGTTTAACGCAAACGCTTTTGTCACATTCACCCAAAGATGGTGATGGATGGTCGGTTTTAGTAGCGGTTTTCGAAGAACGTTTCTGCTTGGTCAGTCATAAGTAATGTCTATTAAATCAACTGTGTGTGGCGAATATTTAAGCATAACAGCAGCATTAAACAAATCAACTGTAGCAAAATATTGAAACAATTTAACTACACATACACATGTATATATATATATATATATATAATCCTTTAAACAATTATTATTGTTTAGAATAATTCCTTGGCGTTCTTCAAAACTGATCTCTGCGGAAGAGATAGTTATTATTTATATATTAATTTAAACAGATGTTATAGAAGCAGATTCTCGTACTTAAAGTCTTGAGTATTTTGAAAGAAGCGTTTTTTTTTCTAACGGGATGGATCTGTCCTAGACATAAGTAATTTTGTGTGCGACATTAAAATGTCAAAGTAAGATGAAATGTAACGTAATAGATTTGGAATCGACATGCGCTTAGGTCGTAAACTTTCTAAGAGCGAATGACATCATTGGCTTTCGAGTAATTATTACTAGTTTAGTACCATTGACTTGGATTACAAGTAAAACAGCATAATTTTGAGGGTAATGTCTCAAGGAGTAAACGGCAAATGTGACAGCATGTGAAGTTTTTACACATAAAAATAAATTTGTCATTTTTAACAGGTTTCAACGAAAACCGACGAAGGTAAGTAATGAGAGTACCCTACACCGCTCCATTTGCTGCAGGTATTTGTTTTTGTTTCAAGATGATGCGTTATATAAGAAGTGATCGAAAATGTGTTCCGTTCTTAGCCGATTCCAAGAGGATTCATCCTCGGTCGAAAACAAGCCCATTCATCAAATTCCATCGAAATATCTCAAAGATTCTGACCTGTAGGTTGAGCGGAAGAATACAAGACGGATCGACAAATTTAGATTTGGAATGATCTTCTGAATTGATCGACAGAATAAAAGATTTTATTATTTCAAATCTTTCAAATTTGTTGTACACATCCACACAAATTTAATGCGCCGCTGGTTACGGAGCGTGTAAATAGTATTTTTATGTGCTAAAGGAGTGTGGAACACTACGGTAGAAAGGGGCCATATTTTGATCCTCCTAACAAATAAAAATTGTTACAAACAATAAGCAACAACATGCAACTTCTAATTGATTATAATAAAATGCCGGGAAAAATGGTGGGTTGGTACAGAAATTTACTGTGGTTCGTTTACATGGCTATATTTTCAGGATCCCTCATCATGTGAAGCTACATTTTTCATATTTTACAGCGAAGATAGGCGAAGTGATGTGGAATTGTTCCGTCTTCCTCGACTACAATGTTTCAAGCTTTTTCATGTTTATTACGTGGAAACAACGTGGAGTTATGTCAATAATATCATTGAAAGCCCGTACGAGTTATTTTTTCGTAGACTGAAAAAGGAAAATTCCAAAGTGCATATGCAGGCAATTAAGAAAGCTCTATACCTGAGTATTTGCAGGGGTCATGATTGGTGTATTCTTCAATTTCTTTTATTTGGCGTAGAAAAGTCGTTTGTATAGCTCGCTCAGATTTTGATAAAATTTTACTACATATTCGTCCTTTTTCCCTGCAATGTAAGGCACCTTAAAAAAGAACCTTCGAATGATCGAGACTGCTTGTATAAGTACAATTTGAGCGTCCGCAGAGAATAAGGATGAAAACCTTAAGTCCATTACCCAACACTTATATAATAAATTTTTTCCTTAAAACCTTAAAAAAACGTCCATTTCATCTCTTTCCCATCAAAAGTCATCTGCTTTTGTAGTCGTGCCACCTGAACTGAGTTATACGCTATCATGAATGCTATGTTCATCTGATTCCATTCCTAAAATGTCCTGACATAACATTTTCAACAATAACAAGTTAAAACATCATAGTCAGGTAAGGTCGAACATTGAATACCTTACACCACTTTGGCTACCATTATTAAAATTTGATGTTCATTAAAAATTGGGAAGTTGGAACCTTTGTACAGTAAGGGAAAGGCGTGATTTCAAATCGCAAACAGACTTGGTTGAGCTTTGGCAGTTTCAATTTATCTCTGCAAAAGTATTATCATTATACCTCACTTGGTTACCTATAAATTACCAAAGTTAGGCATTGTTACCCAATAAAATCAGATTTTTCCCTAGAATTCTTAGATCGCAGAGGTGGTTTTAACAAGTGTTCGAATATAAATTGGAATTAAACAAGCAAGGATATTTAACAACTCCCATAACAAAGCTTTCTTAAGCAATTAGGATCAAGATATGTTTGGATTAGTAAGTCTATTCCGTCCAAATTAGAATACGTAAGATATTTTTGTGAACACGTTTTCAGCAAAAAGGTATTGTCATACAGATCCATGTACCGTGGACGAATACGGATGACATTTGGTAGTTAGTAGAGTCTCAAACTTGACTACTTTTCCTTAGTCGGCTGTTGCCAACATGGCAAATTTTAAAAATATCTTAATAGTTCTGGAAAGAAACGTTTGAGTTCTTGCCGTTCACTCGAAAGGTATTTTTATGCAGATTGACTTGTCCTAATTTCGACAGAGTAGGCTTTCAAATCCAATCATGTCTTGATACTAACTATTTAACAGAGGTCTGCTAGGGACTTTACCGAGCTATATTGAGGGAGTTGGTTAAATTTGAATTTATCTGCACACCGGCTTTCAAAAAAAGGAATCCATCCGATTTTAATTTTCCAAATCGATTAAATACATCGAAATAATATTTGTTACAATTTTTACCTTCAAATATAGAAAAGTGAAATTATTTGCATAAAACGATTCTCTCGAAAGAGGCCACTCATTGTATGGGGAATGGACGTAGAAATAGTCCGATCCAAACCATCCTAAATAGAGCTCGTTTCGTGTAATAGATCTTATCAGAGTATTTTAGAAACTGGTACTTGGGGCTTGGCTAAATATATGCATGGACAGACGGACAAGCAATTCGGAAAAAAGCTCTGAATGGTATAACAAAGTCTATGTGCGTCTGAAATTCTTCTGGATGTCGCATACATCCGCACAACTCTTAATACACTCTATCACAAATCAAGAGAATTTCTTTAAAATAAAAAAGCTGTTGCTTAACCGCTTCGTGTGGGGGAATACTGCATTAAAACGATTATTTCCCCCTTAGACTTTTACTTTTTTTCCTTGTTACTTAATATTGTAAAAATGAGCACACATTTCAACGCGATTTTTTTTCTTTTTTTCTTTTTGTGGTCTAGTCTCTAGCGTTATTAAATATGGTTCGAGATTTAGAAAAGAAAAATCGTTAAGAATCATAAAAATTTATTACATTTATATATCACAAAACCAAATACCACCATCAGAGACCGTGACAGAGACAAAATGCCACGTATCACCGTTTTATTAGAAACGAGGAGTACCTGTTTCTGAGTTTTGAGAAAACGAACCATAATGGTTAAGGTAGCAAATGGAAAATGAAGAGATGAATGAGAGAAGAAAAGTAAATAAAAAAAAGATAAAAAAAAAATATAAAAAAAACCACAAACGAGACATATGAAACTAATGCTTAACAGCATTTTCGTACAAAGAGCTCGCCTAACCTATATGTTTTCTATTCGTTTAAGGACGGGGGACGTCAATACCCTACATATTATATATAATAGAAAATTAAATAAAACGAAAATTGAAAGAGATAACAAACCCTTGTTGGTTTTCATAATAGAAAACGGTTTTTACGATACGCTTTCAACACTTTAGCTGTAGCAGTTTATTATGGCGGCCCTTGCCGGCTAGTTTTGCCCCAAGTGTTAACACTTTGTCTTATGAAAAATAGAAAACTTACCGTTAGTAAATCTCTACGAGAAATATTTTTCAAATGTAATACATTGCGCACAGTACCATCTGGTAGCACTTGAAATGAATCATCGACTAGAGCATGTTCGCGCCACCATGATACACGAGGTGGTGGTATGCCGCCACTAGATAAACATGTTAAATTTATGCTGTCACCTTCGAGATAGGGGCCAGCTTTTTGGTCTCTAACCTCTGCTCCTTGATGATCAAGTATGGCCAGGTTTTTAGGTGGCACTAATATCACACACAAAACGAAAAAGAGAAAAAACAACAACAACAACATTAATAATAATAATAGTAATAATAAAAAGAAGCAAAATTCGCAGCATGTCTTTTATGAAAATATGTCAGTGAAAGCACTTACCCAGCACTGTTACATTGATACGCCAATTTCGCGTCGGTGACTTATGAAAGTCTACACGACATTTATATAATCCGGCATCACTTGTTTGTATGTTTTTTACCCGCAAGGCTGGTGGATTAGAATCGTAATAGAAATGCGCCTTATTTTTGAAAATATTTTCATCTGCCCACGGTATCGCCTGATGTAAAGAGCGCCCCCGAGCATCAAATCTAGAAAACAGAAAATATAAAAAAATAAAAATATAGAAACCCAAGTAGGAATAAAAAGATTTATAAAAAATTTTAATAATAAAAAGATAAAAATTTGAAATCATTCATCTATTATTAATTGCCCTATACCTTGAAATGTAAAGCTTCTTTATTTTAGTACACCCACCCCCGATCTTTCAATTGTGTACAATAATGACAAAATTATATCAAAATTTTAACCTTGCTTTTCATGGGAACCTTTGCACGCAAGACTCCGCAAAATCTAAGCCGACTTGGTGCGAATTTAGTGAGGTTTATTTTGCTTTGCCAAAGATCTTATCGTTTTTCATCTATCTTCGTCAGGAAGGGTCGGAAATTACATGTTGCAGTTTTCATGGTGAGGTCCAAAAAATAAACCTATGTTTAAAGTACATGTCAGATTAGTCTTTCGTATGAATCTTTATCATGAAACACCAGAACTTGGTTGTTGTTTTGTGTATCGTCCTCTACACTCCAAGTTTTCCACTTGTAGTTAATATGTCAAACAGTATTTTCGACCGATTTTTGTTGCGAAATAGTAAAAAGAGTTTTTGTACCCATCATCGAACGATGAGCGATATCCAAAAGTAGAAGAAAAGCACAGCATTTTTTTTTTTGCCCTTTAGGATGTCCTTTATAAATGTAAGAACGGCAGTGATCGCGAAGAATTCGCGATGAAAAATGATTGGAATATTCGGTAGGTACGCGCGAACAGGCGTAAGTAGAAAGCTGAAGCCTTTACAACCTATTCAACGGGCTAAACAAGAATTTCCATAATTAAGAATGCTCGATATTTTTTGATCACAAGCATACGCACGCATTATCAAGCTCTCTTCTAGGGCATGGAAAATATGATATATTTAAAATACTTAAATATGATTGATGACGTCTTTTGAAAAATATTTAATTAACTATATCGTAATTTTCAAGCATCTAGCACAGGGTTTGTTGCTAAGAAAACAAAGCACATTTTACTTTATATTCCGCACTTATATATATAAAAATGTACATAAAAGTTAATCAACTCATTAATAAAACAATTACTTTAACGAGCGCCGCAAGTGCTCTGTTTTTACAAAAGTCAGGAGAAAAAGTTTAGAAAGCTTAACAAATGGCTGCACCATAATGAACATACTACATAGAGTGTCTGTGGCAGTTTGAATATATAAAGAGCAATTACTATACAATAGTACAACTGAAATAAATAACACAACTGCATCTCACATAAATTAATAAACGAGAAAGAACTCGAGCAGAAGTTGTTTCAAATGAACAAAACAATATGAACGAATTTGGTTAATTAATTTTGTTGTCACTTTATGAATGGGTGAGTAAATGTTTTCTAAATAATAAAATTCTACTGTTGGCGCAATATGGACAGAGCATATGCTAATAAAAACAAACATTCGTTCATTCGTTCGAGTAAAAATGTTAAAATTATTTAATAAAGTCTGTCCGTCTGTCTGTCCGCATATATATATATATATATGTTATTTCTTCTTCTTCCTGCAAAAATGTAGGTGAAAAGCTAAAGCTAGGCTAATGTAATTACGACCTACCTCTACTTAATTCAAATACGAAAATAAGCTTCGTAAGCTTTCACGCCCTAGATCATAGCAATTACTAAAACAAAAAATTAGAAAAAAATTCATAAAATTCGCTTACAATCCGCGACATAGGATCTTGTGAATTTTTCTTTGTCCTCACTTTCGTCAAAGTTCAGAGTGAGATTGTTCTTGGTTAACTACTTCTTCACATGATCATGTGCGAAAGAGCTTGCGACAAAGGGTATCAAAGATACGCTCTTTACTTTGTCCTATATAAGGAACAAGCCGTGTATGGTGTAAAATTTAAAAATTGTATTGCTAGCAGAAATTTGAGCCATCAATCATGAAATCTAAAGGCGACAGACATCTAATGCAACATATATGATTTTTCTACATAGTTTTCATGTTCTTATAAATTGACGACAACTTCACAATTTCAATTAACCTTAAAACTCTGGCCTAGAATATGTTGATTGATTTTCATAAAATTGCTTATGTAAGCACCGTAATAAACGCTATTAGGAATCACATCACACATCATTCTTTTGCTCATAAGTTTTGCGTTATATTATGTTAAAAATGGATAACTTAATGTGTTGTTACCCCATAAAGCAAAGTTACGCATTCGATAATGACAGCAACATAGATAAAAAAGTTTCATATGTGATACGTTAAGGTAGCTACGTTAAACGTATATGTAACATATTACTTTACAAGAAAAACAAAATTGATTTAAATCGAGTCAGCAAAATGAAAAGTTCATAATCTTATCTTTCAAATAAATTTAATCGTATTTCTAGCCGCTTTTTGAGCGAATAGCTCAACCACAACTTGAACGAGTACCTTATCTGACGACGATTTTAAGTTTTTATCCCAATTTTTGGCTTTTGAAAACTCCAACAGCTAATGACAGATGCATATGCATGATGGACTTGATTAAAATTGATTTAAAATAAAGAAAATTTTTGTTCATAAATGTACCAAAAAAACCGCGGCAACTTTTTATATGGCCCAATGCTTAGAGGGCATATTACTTTCGTTTTTATTCTATTGAATTTTTGTTTTGGTCATTTAGTTCGCATTGTCTTCTTAACCTTTTTCTTGTTTGTCGAGTAAACAGGCCACGCTCGTTCTATGCAGAAGCAGGAGCTGAGCTTCCTCTGCGGATTTCTAACTTCTATAAGGATATGCAATAACATATCTTTATACCATGTTTGAACCACTTAGGACCACAAAACAGCTTATGTGAAATTCATATATAGAAAATTAATAAAAAGCATATATAATATCGTCCGCTACCTGTATAGGTTAAAAAGAAACTGAGGTGGAACCATTTATGCGACACGTCGTTGACTTAACGCCTCAGTTGAGGACTTACTAAAATTTAGAACCTTAGAACGAGATGTCTCTAGGTGTTTAACCTGTTCACCGGCCGTGAAGGCTTAACTCCACGATGCCCGATGGCACACGATATCTGTTTACAAAGTTATCAGACAAAGTAAACTCGGGAATCTTGTTGATAGACTAAAATTTACGCTATCCCAGAGAAATCATCATATTAAGTTAATAATAGTTTTACTAAATTTCCAGGCGACGATTTTCCATTCAGGCTGTTCGTCTGATTTGTCAGATGCTAGGCCGGCATTTGTTTGTTAGAGAGAGTTTGGGATCTTGTTTTATTTTGCAACTTTTTTTTTTTTAAGCGATCCATCTCCCAGGTAGTTGTTACACTCTAGTGATGTAGCATGGTAACGATCATGAAGAAAGGAGGAAAGACAAAGGGCTGCGGATTTCGTGGCTATAGCCGTCATCTACCCATTCCCATGCTGAAGTAAGATAATTGAGGGAACGAATATGTCGATATTACAGCACAGCTCTCTCTGCTGACCGGCCCCCACGAATCGTATTCTTTCCCCTTTCCACCACGGGGAATACTTTGCGACTATCACTTGCCTACAGATACAGGGAACGTAGTCTTAATGACTGGTGTTCTAAAAGCTACAAGAGAAACCATTACATTAACGTTCTATCAGATAGATTCTCTTCGATATGTGCGCTAAAAGACTGACCCGGTTAAATATCATGCATCTCTATTTAACATAAATGACATCATTATGTTAATTGTAAGTCGGAGAATATGAAATGAAAATCAAAACTTATTGCTTGAAAACTAAAAGTTTCGAATTGAAAATCAAAAAATTATAAATTACTAGCCATCAATTCAAGAAATTTGATTATACCAGTAGCGGATGCTATGCATGCTTAGCAATACGTTGACGGATGATCTAAGTTTACGTTACTCTGCTACAGGGAACGACAAAGTTAATACATGTTCCGGCATTAGGTATACAACAAACTTGTCTCTACCATCAGTCATTGCTTGCATTACTTGCGCTGGCATCAACGTGAGCTATTATATAGTAACATGAACGTAAATGTGTATGTTAATGCATAGCAAATAGCATGAAAGTTGTAAAATATAAATGAACGAAAGCGTAGACAAGACAGTGGCAGAGTAAAAGAAAATCTACAAGATTGTTGCTGCTGCTGTTGTTTATTTAACGGAAACATACAGGAGACATAACAATAGAATTTTTAATCGAATTTTCTCAAGTCATGTCACAGCGAAAATATGTATTTTGTTTTTTGAGAACAAGAAGAAGAAGAAGATACTTAAACATGCAACCCTATAGTAACATATTTTTGGGTTTATTATTATTATACCCTACATTACTTACGGTCCAGGGTATATTAAGTTTGTCTAGACGGTTGTAAAATCTAGAAGGATTTGGAATTGATCCAACTTTTATTGTACCGATCGATAAAGAAAACAATTCTTCTTACTTGTCTGCCTAACGTCTACCTTTGTATTGTTGTGTTCAACCTATAAATCGCTATTTTCCAGATATTTCGATGAAATTTGGTATAATGACGTGTTTTGATCAAAAGACGAGCGCTGCTGAAAACGATCTG